TGAATCATGGTCGACTTTTTAAGGGCTTTTGACGAGTTTGATGTTACTTGGGGGCTAAGTACCTGTTGAAAATGTTTTGTTAGGAAAGCCTACTGGTATGAGGTAAAATGACAAACATGAGGTTTTCGTTGCTTGTCAGTCTTAAGCAAGTATGGGGTTACTAGCAACAAGAACAGTATCTATATAGGTTTAGTTTATAGAACTTAATAGTTCTATAGTGGTCCGGTCCCCGGAAAAAGATAAAGATCATAAAGAAGATCCTTTATTCCATCCTGCTGTTTCATACAATTATTGACGATTCGTCTATGTTGTGGTACAAGCAGTAACTTTTGCTAGGTCCTTCTCCCCATCAATCAGACTCAAAATGGGTAAACTGCTGTCATTAACATCTGTTATTTAATTTTTACCTTTCTGTTAGCCATTATGGTAATAAATGGCAATGAGTGATCTTACAAAAAAAAAAGGTGATGTGTGATAATAACTTTGATGGATGTCGATGCGCAGTAGATGAGGTGATCAAGCAGCCCTTCCTGCACCAACATACATCCAATGGCATTGAGTGATGCACCTGTAATAGCCTATGTGTTCCAAAAAAGAAAGCCCTACACCTGACCCCCCTATGCAGTGGCTGAATTAGAATGACAGGGCTTCGTTGTATTCACATTCAGTGCATAGCTTCTCTGAATGTCCCTCCGTTTGATTACTACATGTAGGGACGGGACTGATTCCTGAAGAGTGATCTGTTTTTCTGGTTATGAAATTGCTTAGATTGAAAAGCAAGTCAATAGACAAAAATGATTGTAACGAAAATTGGGTCAAGTTTTCCCTATAGGTGTGCTGGTTAAGTCAGCATGAAGAATAGCTATAGGTTATACCAGAGTATGGCAAATTGTGGTGACAGTGATAATGGGAAGATGGATTTTGTGGTAATCTTGATGGTGAAAACTGAAAACAAATTGTTTTCGAAGTGCAGAGGTTGTAATTACATTACTAAATGTCAGCTCCTGGAAAACATTGATACACACAATGTAGTTGCCATTCTCTTAAAGGTGCCATTGAAGTATTGAAACTAACAAGGGTATATAGTACCTGCACATCTGTGTCTACCCCCCTTCTCCCCAATCTTTGTTTCCAAATAATTGATTACCCAACATGTTAAATGACCTAGGCTCAATATTCTTAGCCAGGATTTTGTATTGTGCAATTCTTGTTCCTTTCTTTCAGTCAATCAAAGATATGACCAATAAAATAGTTTTGGCTTATTTTTTCATACTAGCTCCCTGTGAAGATCCTCTAAGTGGCACATTATATACAAACTTTTTCTAAGCATGAAGGCAGTTATTTATTTTTCCCTTTTGATTTTCACCAGTCCCTATATTCTACAGTAGAATTGTTCAAGGGCTATAGAACTTTATGTTTGTTTCTTGTTCTGTTGACCACTTACTCTGATTTTTCAGGGAGATTTGCATCTAATTCCTTTTTTATGAAAAAAAAATGTGTTGCTCTTTTGCAGAAGTTCATCCTTGGTGGGAGGTTGATATTTGGGCCAGATGCTAGGTCATTGCTTGTCACATTATTGCTGATCACTGTTCCAGTTATTATTTTTTGTGTATTTGTTGCAAGGCATCTTCGCCATGAGTTCTCTCCACATAATGCAGGATATGCTATTCTGGTGGTAGCAATTGTCTTCACTATCTATGTTAGTTCTTTCAAATCTCTTATTTTATATTTGACATTTTATAATCTTGTAATGAATTTATGCAACATGTTATGAGTTTGAGTATGCCACTTTGTGGATGCATGACAGAGCATCTGCGCTGTTGTCAACCAATGTCAGAAACTGAGGTTTGCACTCTAAGCAATGGGTGAAGTTATAAAGTGATCCTTTTTTGTTGGGATTTACTGATGATCACTATTTTGCTTTGGTTTTCCTACTCAGTAATTTGCAAGGCCAGGAAATATCAGTCTTTATTCGTTGTAGTAACTGTCGTAATCATTTTCTCGAATAAATTTTAATTGTTGGAATGAAATAGTAGGGAACTGGAAGATCATTTGATTTTCCTGTTGCAATGAAATTGTGTCTGTTTTGCAGTGTTTTTGTGTGGGATGCATGTTACTGGACTTCGGTCTATTACTGGTGAATATTCATTGGTTGATGTTCTCTTACTAGTTCAGGATTTTATGGTTTTCTATGGTGGCATTTATTTTTACTAGTTGGTTTTATTAGGTATTGGTTCTTCTTTTCCTCACATCTGCAAGAGACCCGGGTATCATTCCCCGCAATTCACATCCTCCAGAGGAGGAATTCCGGTATGATGCTTCTGTGTCAGCTGATATTGGTGGGAGACAAACGCCCACCCTTCAATTCCCCCGAACAAAGGAAGTTATGGTTAATGGCATTCCTGTGCGTGTAAAGTATTGTGATACATGCATGCTTTATCGACCTCCGCGTTGCTCCCATTGTTCAATTTGCAACAATTGTGTTGAACGGTTCGATCATCACTGTCCTTGGGTGGGCCAATGCATAGGACTGGTAATCTGATTTCTAAATATGCCATTTGAAATAAACCGAATTGTATTCATTTTGTGTGTGTTCTCATCACTATGGTAACTGAAATGCTTTCTGGTTGCAGAGAAATTACCGCTACTTCTTTATGTTCGTTTCTTCATCAACTCTTCTTTGCATCTATGTGTTTTCCATGTCAGCTTTGTACATTAAGGTTCTGATGGATGATCATGGGGGCAAACTGTTAAAAGCAATGAAAGAATCTCCTCCATCTGTCATACTAATGGCGTATTGTTTCATTTCCCTGTGGTTTGTTGGAGGGCTTACAGGGTTCCATTTATACCTCATAGGCTCAAACCAGGTTAGTCAATCTCTTCCAGTTAAAACTGTTAGATTTATAAGGAAATTACTCTTTTCTTCTCTGTAGTTATTGTAGAAGGATGAACTTGATTTCCAGACTATGGTTGACTGTGGTTTCTACCACTAACCTTTTACAGCACATTGGATGACAGCTACGTTTGTTCCAGACTGTGAAGGAATGCAGATATTGTATGAATAGTTTGTGTTTGAAAATGAAGTCAATGAAAATGGTCAAAGTTTTAGGACTGGAGTAATAACCAATCATTGTTTACACTTTATCTCAGGAGTACTATTTTTTTTTTTTTTTGAAAAACTGAGGAATACTATTTTAGTTATCTTGATGATGCATTGCAGTTGTAGAAGCAGCTTTTTGTTTTAATATAAATAAATTTATAGAAAAAGAGCTGTATTATATAGATAAAGTACCAAAGAGTGCCACCCATTTAGAAAAAGAGAAAGCCAATTATTTCAAACTCTAGTATGGTCTGTGCATTTATTTTCGGACAAAAGATGACCATTGCCAAAAAATGTCTTGTTTTTTTTTTGTATAAATAAATTTATAGAAAATGGAGGTGTAATGTATGCCCATTTAGAAAAAGAGAGCCAATTCTGTACAATTCAAAATCTAAGTAAGGCCCAAGGCTTTTTTTGGATCAAGAAGACCATAGGCCCGCAAATTTTTTGTGACCAATTATCCTGTACTCTTGGGAAGACAGGAGCCTCTCCTTCAAAGATTCTGGTTTCTTTCTCCCCAAACTGTTTGGGAAACTGGAGGTAGGATGGGGGATAAAAAATTTTCCATTTTTGTTTAGGAGCAGCCATGCCCAACCGCACGCAAACAGAAGCATAGCTGGGGCATTATTTCTTTGGTGTTATGTATCCAGGAAGTCGGAAGCAACATAGTCTTTTAATTTTTTTTTGGGGCATTCTATGTTGCTTTTAATTTTTTTTGCCTCTGTTTCCTCTACAACCATGAGCAATAGTCACCCTCTTAAATTACTCTATCAACTGTTGGTATTTCATGTTTGGTTATCAGATAAGGAATTTGGAAACTCGGGGAAAGGGTCAGAGGAATCCTGCACATGACATGATTCATGTCTTACTTGATGATTCCGGAACTTGAGAACAAATTATGAAAAATGAAATACTTGTCTGTTAATAGTTTGGCAGTTCAGATTGATGTTACCACCCATCTAATTGTGGTACCTTTAGACCTTTGCAACCTCATGGTTCATAAAGCAAGCATCCTTCTTTTTTAGCATCAGTCAATGTCATTGTTGATAATCATTGTATTTGTTTTTTAAAATGAGATCATCATTGTTAATCATCATTGTATTATTATTCATGGGTTGATATTAACTGAGCTTCTATTAAACCTGGAGTTTTCTGTTGGTTAAACTAATATAAAAGCATGTCTTTCAGACTACCTACGAAAATTTCCGGTATAGAGCAGACAACAGGGTAAATGTTTACAGCCAGGGTTGTGTGAATAATTTTCTTGAAGTGTTCTGTACAAAGATAAAGCCCTCAAGGAATAACTTTCGGGCTATTTTTCAAGAGGAGCCCCCAAGGCCCCCTCCTCTGCCAGTCACCCGGGAAGTAGAAGCAGAAGACTTGGGTGGAGATCCACGTTCGAAGGTAGAGGATGATCTAGAGATTGGTGAAGACCTATTGAAGATCTCCCAGCGCCGCAACATTGAAGAAATAGATGAGGACATACGGAGTAGAGGGAGTAGTGGACTACCCCATAATAGTGCAGAGATAGACTCTGTTCTGAATGCGGATCGAGCTCCCACCATTAGAGCAGAAACAAGGCATTCAAGTTGGGGAAGGAGAAGTGGGAGCTGGGAAATTGCACCGGATGTTCTTGCCAACTCCACGGTGACTGAAAGCAGAAGCTATGTAGCTCCCAAGGAAGCAAGGCAATGATGTGGTAGTTTCTAACTTTAGCTGCGGACAATATAGAATTATGGGATGACATGGGTGGAGAGCAATTTTCTTGGATTCATTTTTTTAGCTATTATTGTCTGTGGTGTGGTCTCAAATGGAGTTGCCATTGATTTGAGAACTTGCAACCATCAAATGGGAGTCAAGAATTTACTCCCCCTCCCCCCCCCGTGAGTCACAGAAGCTTGTATTTACATTTTTCTTTAAAAGGGAATTTCTAGCTTTTTGTGATTATCTTTTGGGAGGCAATTGAAGGATGTGTTGTTGTAATCTGAGAGAAGAAAAAGGGGGATTGCTGTCTTTCTGCCTTTGTTTATACTGTTAAAACATCTACTTCCTAGATTGATTGTCCAGTGCTGGCTTTATTCTTTGTGCAGATTAGCTAGCTATTCTCGATTTGAAATTTATTTTAATTTTAAATATTGTGTTTAATTTCTTTCCTCCTTTGCTCTCTCTATTGTATTTACCATGGGATTTATCATTAAACTTAACAATTTATTTCCAGTTAAAAATGATGACCGCCTTGACAGAAACTACTGAAATACTTAAATATCTTTTTTGGGGCTACAAGTAGGAACCAAGTCTATTATTATATAATGTGGGGAGACTTATAGTGTACGTACAGCATCAAAATAATTCAAATGGAGATAGGGTTGAGGATTTCAGGAGCAAATATTACAAGACAAAACATAATTATTTATCATTTGATGTGGAACCATCCACTGATTAATAATATGCACATTGTTTTTACTTCACAAGCCTTCTAACTTTTAACTGGATATATTAATAAGAATTATATTTAGGAAACTTATAACTACAATACCTAGATTAAATCTTCTACAATAAATTATGGTCATGAAAAGTAGAAAATTTTAACTGTCTTAAAATACTTAAAACATGGATTAAATCAAGTACTTGATTAGTTTTCAAACACACACACATATATATTGGATAAATATAACATTAACCAGTTAGATTTGATTAAATTCATGCGATGTTTCCAAAAATTTAGATAAAAGAAAAAAAAGAAAAGAAAAACCGCGTATGAACAATTAAAACAAGTTGTTAATCTCTAAAAATTAGAAAAAACAGAAACCGCGTGTGACTAATTAAAAGGAATTGTTAATTTGATGTTTAGATTTACATGATGCATAAAGTTGTTAACAAAGTATCGGTATTTTTGTTACATCTTGCTTAAAATAGATCATCTTCTACCACTATAAAAACATGCACAAATGAACACCATGATCATGGTTCATTCAATATCCAAGTAAAATAACCAAAGGCATCAATGGCTTTTCCAAACAACTTGTTAGCAGCTTCTTCCACAACAATTCTCTTCTTCTTCCTCGTCTTCTCTTCATCATTAGAGGCAGTTCCTCTACCTCCAAACTCTAAATTAACAAAGCTGAAAGAACGTGCATGCCATGCAACGAATAGTTACACGTTTTGCATGAAGAGACTCAATCGCAATCCTCAAGCCATTTCAGCAAAAACTGATTTGGATCTTCAAAAGGCCATTCTTGAAATGGGCAAGACCAAGGCTCTCAGGATTCAAACTGTCATTTATAAGATGCGAGTTAGTAAGGACCCAAGGTTCGTGGCGGTGAAGCCGGCTCTTGCCGTCTGTGCAAATTCGTACATTAGCATTGTTGGGTCGTTCCAGGCAGTGGCGGAGCTGGAGCTAGAGGAGGATTTATTGTCTGCTAATTATGATATAATGGTGTTATTTGATTATATTGGGTACTGCGAAGATGCATTGGCGAAAGCAACTGCTCGTCTTCCAGATATGGCGATTGCAAACAGAGCCATGAAGTATTTCATTTCCATGGCAGCTACTGCAACAAATGGTTTGGAGTAGAGAAAGGGTTTTAATAAGTTTCTTGTTTAGTGCTATTTTTTTATTATGGTATTTTGTTTCCCTTCTCAGGGCGTTCATATTGACCCATAGTTTTATAGGGTTAATAAAACAAAATGCTCTTGTAATTTTAATTTCTTCAACAAAAAGAGAAAAAAAAAAGGCAATAAATTAGCTCTTAATCAAACTATCTCACCCACATTTGCATACTAATCCGAGAACACATGAAAAATATTTCACCTTAAATTAAACTCACTATCTTTTTTTTAAATATTAGAGATGCAACCGAGCCAACCTAGCAAGTTAACTGGGTCGAGCCTGGCCAAACATAATCAGTGGGTCGATTGGATTGGCCCTGTTTGGTCCACTTATGAAGCCAGGCCGAGCTCGACCTGGGAAATTGCGTCAAGCTGCAACGGACGGCCTATGAATCTAAACCGTCCGAAACAAGTTCCATATTTAAAATCTAATCTACATCAATTGCTGTATTAGTTTAATTTGTTTTAGTACATTAAACATTAGTGAACCAAATTTGATTAAACTAACGCAGATTTCGCATGAGAAAAAAGTTATGTTACAAAATTACATGATCTACCCATGTTGTTGTTTTGCCTTATTTAACAAAATTTTTGTTTCATTTCTCTACATCTTGCTTAAAATAGACTTTCTGAATCGCTATAAAGAACACGGAAAAAAACAATCAAGAGAGTTGGATCTTTTCTCTGAAATATTCCAACATCAATGGCATCCCCAAGAAATCTCTTAGCATATTCTGCAAAAATTCTCTTCTTCTTCCTTATCTTTTCCTCCTCATCATTACATGCAACTCTAGATCTGATACCTCTAGGATCTCAATTAACAAAAATCAAGGAACGTGCATGCCATGCAACAGATAGTTACAGGTTCTGCATGAAGAGGCTGAACCGTAATCCTGAAACCAGCTCGGCCTCGACTGTCTTGTCTCTCGAAAAGGCTATTCTCCAAATGGGTGAGGCCAAGGCTGTTAAAATTCAAAACTCCATTAACGAGATGCACGAGGATCCCACGTTGGTTGCAGTAAAGCAGGCTCTTGACGTGTGTTCAGCTTCGTATCAGAGTATTGTTGAGACATTTGAAAAGGTGGCGGAATTGGAGCTGGAAGAGGATTTGTTGTCTGCAAATTATGATATAATGGTGTTGTTTGATGAGATTGGGTACTGTGAAGATGCATTGGCGAAAGCAACTGCTCGTCTTCCGTCTATGGCCATTGCAAATAGAGCCATGAAGCATTTTATTTCCATGGCAGCTGCTGCAACAAATGGTTTGCAGTAGAGAAAGTAGGTTTATGATTTTCTTCTAGTTTCTTGTCGTTTGCCCTTTTAGGGTTCATTATTAACTTGCCCATATAACTTTATAAGGGTTGATAAAATATAACTATTGTGAATATTCTTGTGCTGTTTAATCTCTAGTTTCATTAAAAAAAAAAATGACACATTTGTTTATTTTGCAAAATATGAATTCTTATACTCTCTAAATTTTAGAAAATAAATATGAATTTAGTATTTAAAATATAAATTTGCTAAATATTACAAAAATATACATAAATAAATTGACAAATTTTATACATCTCAAAAGATTTTAGATTTTATTTTCATAAGTACCTTTCAATTAATAAAGAATTTGAAGTGAAGGGAGAATGAGTCCAAGTTTACGCTTTTCACCCTCTCTCACTAAATGTAGCAAATTTTGGTCATTCTGAAGCTATATATGTAACTGAACGAATATGATTGTCGGATTATTTTGACATTTTATGGTCGTTTTGTATTCGTTATTTTAATCATAACTGACGTTTTTAATTATATATTTTAAAAATAAAATATTTAAAATAATATAGTTACATTATGTTTATAGAATCTATTCATTTTAATATTCAATCAATATTAAAACAACATTAGCTTTTCTCTATTTGTATTAGAGAAACAACATTAAAACCAACTTATTAAATCAAGCTATGTCTAAATTATAAAATTATGATCTTAATTCAAACAACTTATTGGACTGTCAAACATATTTTATTAAATTTATATAAATTTAATATCACAATATAACATCATTTTTCATAAAGTAATATCGTATAAACAAATCAACAAACTTGTTAATGTGTTATTTTATTTATAAATACCATGATAATGTTACTATGCTTTCTTTAATAAATTAACATGATTTTTTTTATATTAACTTCATTTTTTTTAAAATAGACTTTCTCTGTCACTCATGAAAAAAGAAATTTATATTATAAGACATAATAATCAAGTGAATTACATACAGATTCCCTCGTAAAAGTAAGTGGCTTAATTTCTTCAGCAATTATTGTCTTCTTTTTCTTTTCTTCTCTTCATCATTAGATGAAAAAATCTCAGTTGATAAAACTGAAGGAATGTGCATGTCATGCAACAAATAGCTGTATTTTACATTAAGATCCTCAACTGCATTCCTCAAGCTTCCTCAGCTTCAGATATCTTGTCTCTCGAAAAGGTCATTCTTGAAATGGCCAAGATCAAGGCCTTTTAGATGTAAAACACTATCAACATTATGTATATATAAGCAAAAGCTCAAAATTTGTGGTAATAAAAGAAATTTTTAGATTTTTACGAGAAAACAACTTGTAAACTCATATGATTTTAAAATTTTTTTAATGAAGTTTAGTGTCTCTCTTTTTTTTTCATCGAAATGCTAGAATAAACTTCTTTATCCAAATTTTTGTAAGAGTTTACAAAATAATATACTCTTATACTTTCTTATTATTATGATTTTATGAAGCTAAATTTATGATTAAAATAGTTATCTATGAACTAGTTATATGAGATAATAAAATATTTATGCGAATATTATATGTTAAATTAATTTTAATAATATGGTCAAGAATGTCATACGTAATTATTCTTGAATCAATTTGTTTGACGAGCTATATGCATCAAATTACCATGAGAAATTTAAATACGATTTTAATTGAGAAATTTAAGTTACATCTATTTTTAAACAAAACTAAATTAGATGAAGCTTCTCGTGGATCTAATTAATTTTCTTAAAATAGCTCCACCCTGATCCTCCGCATGCTATAAAAACCAGGGGTTGGCAAAAACCGTAATCACAAAACTCGAGGATCATTAAATCAATCCTCTCCAATGGCTTCTCCAAATCATGGCTTAACTTTTGCACTAATCGCCACCTTCTTTGTCATCTTCTACCCTTCGCCATTGCATGCAGTTTTGACTCCTCATGAAATGATTCAAAGTGTCTGCAGAGCAACGAACAACAATCCCTTCTGCCTTCAAACCTTGAAATCCGACCCGCAGGCTCTGCTCTGCAAAAAACAACTCGACCTCGTAAAAGAAGTCATGAGACTGGGCAAGGCCAGCGCAGAGAAGACCCAGAATGAAATCAACTCGATCCGAACCAAAAAAGACATCGAGCCCTCTCTGATGGCGGCGCTCGATGTCTGCTCAAAGTCGTATCGCTTCATGGTTGAATCGTTGGACACTGAGTTGAAGCCCATCGAGGAGAGCGATTTGATGACCTTGAACTATGATATTATGGTTTTGTTTGATGAAGTCCGGTATTGCAACACGGCGCTGACTCAGGCCAAAGCGGAGGTTCCGGAGGTTTCCAGTGGGAATGAGTCGATGAAGTATTATATTTCAATGGCAGCTGCAGCGACGAGCAAATTGAAATAGAGCTATAGGAAGGAGTAGGTGTTCTCTAATGATCCGAACGACGTCGTAACGAGAAAGCATGGCCTCATTTGTAATATATTAAGGTTGTCTAATAACGTGCTTTTTTGCTCCTTTTACAAATTGGATGGCATCTAATTCTATTAATTAAAAGTTGAAAAAGAAAATACTTTGATTATTAGTTAAAAGATACGAAGAAATAGAATAAATTTTTAAAAAATGTTAATACAAATATATATATATATATATATATAATTTTGAGTTTGATAGTGCAACATTTTCTCAAATTAAGTAGAAGTTATATATATCTATAATATATATATATACACAAAAAATCTATTCCAACAAAATTAAATATCAGACTTTCTTGGTTCAATTCTTTTTCATTGATTTTCTGATTTCGATATGAATAACTTATTTTGGTTGGATTAATAATGTAACGCCCCCTTTTTTTTTTTTTTCTTTTCACGTTGGTCGTAATTAACCAAGCAACCAATTTCATAGTCAATCGGTCAAGCACAAGAAAATACTATCACAATCCCTTATTCAATGATCAAGGTAAATTTACAATCATGTACAAAACATCGCACACAATATAATCGTACTCGATGTCTATGCTACCATCAATTTACACATTCTATTCGGTCAAAAGAAACGAAAATCTTTATCCTGTTACTCTACACACTAGGTTCGGACACTAACAACTTTGATCCGAACTCCGTCCCTACATCATCTATAAAGAGGAAAGAGTGAGTCTATTTAACTCAGTATGGTAGAAATCAAAATACAGGTGTGAGATGCAATAATATAAAACCCCAAGTTCCTACTAACAGTTCACTACTGAACCCCAGTCCCCCCCTGTATTCCCACAATCCCACCTACCCAGGGTTTCCGTCCCCCGAGGGCACCCCAGGCATGCTAGTGATACCACCCACCACCAAGATCGGCAACCATTAACCACTTATCGATCCCTACTGGGCTACGCACGCACACTATTTTCCTTTATTTTCGTCACCAACATCGGCGACCATCATCTACCTACCGACCCTTATCGGGCCACACACACACACTCTAATCATTCTCTCCCGTCACCAACATCGGCGACCATTAGCCACCTCTCGACCTATACCAAGCCACACACACACACACTCTGATCATTCTCTCCCGTCACCAGCATCGGCGACCATTAGCCACCTCTTGACCTATACCAGGCCACACACACACACACTGATCATTCTCTCTCGTCACCAGCATCGGCGACCATTAACCACCTCTCGACCTACACCAGGCCACGCACACCCACTCTGATCATTCTCTCCCGTCACCAGCATCGACGACCATTAACCACCTCTCGACCTATACCAGGTCACGCACACACACTCTGATCATTCTCTCCCGTCACAAGCATCGGCGACCATTAACCACCTCTCGACCTATACCAGGCCACGCATCCACACTCTGATCATTCTCTCCCGTCACAGCATCGGCGACCATTAACCACCTCTCGACCTATACCAGGCCATGCACGCACACCACTTTCATTCACTTTCGTCACCAACATTGACGACCCTCATCCACCTATCGGCCACACACACACACGCTACTCATTCTCTCCCACTGCCCTTTTTCGCCCACTACCTGCGACATACTCTAAGTGTGCCTACTCACACTATCTTTCCCCCGCCGCCACGAACTCCTCTCACGTTGCCTATGCTTTCTCTCTCTTTTCCCCCTTGGTCCCGCTCTCTCCCAAAGCTCCAGCAACCCCACTCCACTCCCTCAAGCACCTCACTCACGCCGCGGATCCTTCCCTTCCCCGGTGTTCACTCACTTTATTTCCCTATCTCTCCCTCGGACCACATCCTCACTGCCACAACATTTTTCGCTCTCCTCTCGCATTGCTCACACAACCTGTCCCCTCTCACACAGTTCACTAACTTCACACATCTTCCTCTCTCCTCCCGCATTGCTCACACAACCCGCTCCCTCTCATACAGTTCACACACATATTCCTCTCTCATCCCGTGCTGCTCACATAACCCGCTCCCTCTCACACAGTTCACATACATCTTCCTCTATCCTCCCGTGTTGCTCACACAACCCGTTCCCTCTCACACAGCTCACTAACCTCACACATCTTCCTCTCTCCTCCCGCGTTGCTCACACAACCTGCTCCTTCTCACACAGTTCACACACATCTTCCTCTCTCCTCCCGTGTTGCTCACACGACCCGCTCCTTCTCACACAGTTCACACACATCTTCTTCTCTCCCGGCCTCCACTCACCCCACACCCCTATCTCTCTCTCGGCCTCCGCTCGCGCCACCCACCTCACTCACTCATCCGACCTCCACTCACTCCACACTCCGTACTTCACTCTCGGAGTCCACTCACTCTGCCAACCGTTTTTTTCTTTCTCGACCTCCACTCACTCCGCCAATCGCTTTTTCTTTCTCGACTTCCACTCACTCCGCCAATCGCTTTCTCTCTCTTGGCCTCCACTCACTCCCCGCCCCTACATCTCCCTCAAACCTCGCCCGTATCGTCACCTTCTCCCTCTCTCTTCTCGCGGTTCTCACGCGGCTAACTTCCTTCTACACGCCTTATTGCACACACTCACCCTACACGGCCTCCTCCGTACACCGCTACTTCCGTAAGCAATCACAACGCACACCACACCTCCAAAATTCCCATACACATTTTAAATCTCAAATTAACACACGTATTTGAAATATGTTACCGTACCTCCCATTTTCATCTTTCTTCTTTCGGCCGATCGCACTATCACCGTCCGCGGTCTCCTCTTCTCTTCGCTCCGCTTCCTTTCTCTCTCCTTCTGGAACCTTCCTTCTTCTCCTCTTTCTCTTTCCCGCTCCCCTTCTTCCTCTGTTCTTTCTCCTTTTTTTTCCTTCTTTTTCTTTCCTTTTTCCTTCCTTCCCCCTGCCCCCTATTTATATCACCCCACTTTTCTCAAAACGGCGTAGTTTTTTCCTTTTCAAAACGACATCGTTTTCTCCCCTCTGCAAAACGACGTTGTTTTTCCCTCTTTCAAACGGCGTCGTTTCCCTCGCCTCTCTCTTTTTTTTTTCCAATCATTACAAATAATGACTAAATTTCTCTAACACTTAAATTAATAATTATTTAATTAAATAATTTATACGTTTATTTTAATATCAATACTTGCAATGGAGAATTAAAAATAATTATAAAATCGTGGCAACAAAAAAATTAACATTTAAAAATAACAAAGAATTTTTTTATGTTTTATTTAATATATTTTTTTTGTTCATATTTACTATTCTATAAACACACATTGCCGTACATAATTTTTTAAAAAAAATAAAAAAAAAATATTTTTCTTATAACAAATGGAACCGAAGTATAGATCTAATGTTTGCCGGCATGATGTTCAAGCAAATAGATTGTTTTTTTTTCCTCTTCGAAATCCTAATAAGATATTTAATTATTATAAGAGTTTAATGTAATTCAATTATTAAACATTATAAATTTATAAATAGAATTCTATCAAATTTTCTAGATTTATCATATTACAACATATTGTATAAATAGAACCTAAAATACTTGAGATTATAAGGCCAACATTTGGGCCCCTAAGATAGTTTTCAGGTTTTATATTAAGAATTTTTTTCCCATCAAATTTTAATAATTAATATATTTTATTTGAATAAATTTATACTTTTTAAAATTAGATTATGTATATATTAATTATAAAATAGTAGAAATAATATGAGAGTATAACCTAAACTTAATGAACGATTTTTTACAGTAAAAAAAAAATACGTATTAATTAGTTAATTAACTAGTAATTTAATGAATGACAAATATTTTTTCTTGTATCGATCCTATTTTAATGGAAACTTAATGAGTTGATCTGCCTATACATCTTGCTTTTATTGCTATATCGGGAGTTACTCTACGTATTGCTTGATGTAAAATATATAGTGGGTTTTTTATTCTGTTTTTTTTTTCAAAGATTCAATAAAAAATTTGATAAATTAATTATTATTTTTTTTATATTTCAAAGTACGATTAACTAACATGTTAATCAATTAATTACGATAAATCTGATTGAATTTTATCTTCTTTTTTTTTTACAGTACTTCGACGTTATATGAGCGTGAAAATGGTTCAAGAATCAATTTTTTTTTTTTAATAAAGACTAAAATTATTTCATCTTAAACTTATACTCCTACATAAATATTTTTTTGTTGATTAAATTCATGTAATAAATGTCTATTAAAATTTAACTGCATCAATTAATCTAATTGGTAAAGTTTTAAAAGAATTATTATTTTCCATAAAAAATTAAAAATACACGTAACGATGTTATGGTTGTTTTGTAAGTATTATGGTTGTTTATAATTCACGTTTAACCATCCATTTTTAACAAATTAAAAAGATTAGTTCCCGTAAATACAGAAATTGTTCGCCATGCACTGCCATCACTATGAAACAACTTAAACAACAGTATGTTTTACACGTAAAATGAGATATATATTTCCTAATATAGCTTTATGTTCTTACATTACATATAACCCGTAATTTACAATCAACCACTGCCAACTTCATCGCCATTAAATCTTCCTACTAAAAAGAAAGAAATCAGAAAAAAAAATGGGTTACAAACTTTCAGCTCTCACAATCACAGTCATCTCCTTCATCTCCATCGTCTTCCCTTCTCCATTACATGCCGCTCCAAAGAATTTAGCTTTGTTCCATAAAGCATGCAGTTTCCACGGGGATTCTAAGCCTTGCATCGACTTCCTATGCTCGAACAAGAATGCTCTAAAGGCGAAAAAATTGGTGGTGCTCACGAAAATTGTTATGGACTTGGGAGAAGCCATTGCGCTAAAAGCTTCGAACGACCTCAGTGTTATAAAAAAAAGTACAGGGATAAGTAATAGTTTACTAAGCTCGGCTCTTGAGAGGTGTGAACGTTCGTATGCAGCGTTGGTTCAGGGACTTGAGGCGTCGAGATTAGAG